ACCATGTGCCCTCACTTGACAACTTCTGAATATAAGGTGAGTAAGACAGTCCATGCCTTGAGGGAACTTGTAGTTCGAGGGGCGTGGAGAGTAGAAAGGGAACAGGGCCTTGATGTTCATGGTCCCAAGAGCCTTAGTTGCAAAATTTCAGAGGAGGAGGAGGTGATTTCTGAGATGGACAATAAGAAAAGGAATTAGAGTTCATTTTTTTAAATGGAGAAAAAGAAATATCAAGGAGAGGAAATGAAAGGATAACAAGCACAGGAGCAGACAAATGCAAAACAGTTGCAAATCTGGCAAGTAGACTGATGTGAGGGGAGTCAGGGAACCAACACGCATTGTGTTCACATGTGTCAGCAGCTAGCTAAGAACTCTGGAAGGCCCCCCAATTAACTTGTCACTCTAAGGTAGTGTAGACAGTTCTTCAGGCACCTCAAAACACAAACACATACATACTTAGTCACTGAGGTGCCCAGTCCGTCAAAACTTCAATCTTGCTTTAAAGTCTCACCACACTTGGTCCTATTACAATGGAAAGCTTGAAATCAGGGGAAGGGTGTGGTTGGTTACCTGGTTTAACAAGCCTCGCATCTTCTTCTGCCATCTTGCTAACTCCTGGCCCTTCAATGTTGTAAGCATGGAAAAGAAAAGGAGAGCAAAGAAGTTCTTACTTGATGGGACTATTGTAGTGATCTGGCACTGATGTGGTCTGGTTTTGACAAGTGTGACAAATGTATGAGACTTTCTGTTTTCATCTGGGGCACTTTCATGGTTCTTTTGGATAACCACCTTTCTCTCCACTCCCTTCACCAGAGCTGGAAATCTTTCACCTTGACTAGGGCATACACATCTCTATTACAGGTGGTCACTGTCCCCTTCTCTTCTCAGGCATCTTAAGATATAAGCAGCTTCTTCTGCTATGGTCTTCTTACCCCTCCAAGCAGCCCTTTTGGAAAAAAAGAAATATAAAATTATCCCACATAAGTTCCCTTATACATAGCTCACCTTTGGTCTATGTGCAATACTCAAGCAATTTTTGCCCACCAAACTCTGGGAGTGCAGGCCATTGAGTGCTGCCACTTCACCTACCTTGCCATCAGAGCAGCTGACTAGTCCTAGTTCAAACCTTAGATCTTCCAGATAGGAGACAGACATTAATCCACTATACTCCCTAAGCTGTAGGAATTAAGTATCAAATTCTCAGTAGGATATCATAATTATTCTCTTGACTTCGGATGAAAAGGGAATTCCCTTCCTACCCACCTTCTCAGCAGGAGGGTGAGGTAAAACTCACGATATGCCAAAAACACTTTCCAAAAATTCTCTCCTAATAGTCATCAACTTGTTTAGATCCAAAATATGGGGGAGGGATTAAGCATTGTATAACCTGCTTTAATCTTCCCTCTTGCAAGTTCTCCATCCTGTGTTCTCACACTTCCCTTAGCCATGCAGTATTGTCACCATGCTTCAGCAAACATTCCTTTTCAACATTTTGTTACATTTATTTCATTTAATGGTCACTATAATCCTATAAGATAGATAAAACTATTTTCATCTTAGAAAAAAGGAAAATGAGTTTTGAAATGATCAAGTAACTTGACCAAAGTGGCAAGAACATGTTTTAGATCCAGATCTCTCTGGTACTAGACCTCTTACATCATTCTTGAATGAAGGGTACATGTGCCTTGGCTTAGCTTAGCATAAGAACTCAATAAATAGTCATGGAATGACCAAAAAGTTGATTTCCTTAGATTTTAGAGAAATGTGCATGCCTTGATTTTTTGATAGGGAATGAAAAACAATTGAAATTTTTTGAGGGCCAGCAGGTGGCATGGTGTTAAAGACACTGGACTCCCACATAGCCAACCATGGTTCGAGTCCCAGACCTGGCGGCTTGCTTTCTCACTCTCTTGCACTCTCTCTCTCTCTCTCTCAAGCACATGTGCCTTATAGTAAATTTTAAAAAATAATAATAAATAAATTAAATAATTCTTTTTTAATAATAAATAAAGTTTTTAAAATAATAAATAAATAAAATAAATTCTTTGAAAAAACTTAAACCAATTTAGGAAAAGGAAAGTTGTTGGGACCAGCAGTTCGCGTAATGGCTATGTCGCTGGACTCCCAAATAGTCGACAGCGGTTCGCGTCCCGGACCTGGTGGCTTAAAACTCACGCCAGGCGCGTGTGCATGCATGCCCAAGATCCCAGGAGGAGAATGGAGGAGAAGGGATTACGGCGTGGCCATCCCCCTGGGGGGTGATTTCTCGCTTTCTATCTCTCTGTCTCTCTCTGGCTGGCTGGTGAGCGCACACGCCCTATAGCAAAAACCTCTCCAAAAAAGAAAAAAAGATAAAGGAAAGTTGTTAAGTTCTAAGTTACAGATGGCAATGGTAAACAAGAAAATGTGACAGGAGTATACAGAAATATTCAGAAGGAAGAAACAATTAGTAGAAAGAGGCACTTTAGGAGACTATGGAAAGGGTTCAGAGAGTAAGCTACAAAGGACATGGTGTGTGCTCTTCTGTTAGAATAATGAGGAAATGAGGATAGGCACTAGGTTGAAGGAATTAAAGAGAGAATGGGCAAAAAGAAAATACAACGTGTCTCCAAAAAGCTCATAGTAAATACATACTATAAAAAAAAAAAACTATACATGGATTTCAAATTTTTTTAACAAAATAAACTCGTACTCTAATTCCATTTTCACAAATTTTTTGAAGTCCCCTTCCAGGAGCAGCTACATCCTAGTTTTCCAAGTTGTTAACATCTGAATGGAGGTAGAGAAATAGGTTGCAAACCAGAGCAACTAGCAGGATGCAGTAAAGAATATCATTCCAGAGCAGATGAAACCAGATCTTAATTGTAGACAGAGGAGTCAAAGAGAAGAGAGTCTGCAGGTGCTGGGAAAAGGAGAGCAGTAATTGAAAGAGCCAAGACCAGGGGGAGAGAGAATGTGAAGGGTTAACATAGAAGAAAATTGAAGATACATCTCCCACTAAGACAGAGAAGGAAGAGAAAGGGTGGATAACAGATAAAACCATGCTGCAAAATAGAGAGAGAAAGAAAGATATTGACGGATATTGTACCCAATAGAGTAGACCTTTCTCTGTAAAGTAGGAATCAAAGGAATGGATCAAGAGTTGGGAACCAGGAAGTGACAGCATCAGTATTTGAGAGTGAACTCGAAACACCCGGTGTAGTACTTGTGTCCAGAAATTAACTATGGAAATCAATCAAGGACAAATAAACACAAAGACACTGAGGTTCAACGATCTGAATTATTCTCACAGAAGTCCTAATCAGAAGTATCCTGTGGTAAAGAGGAGAAAGCATGAGTCAAGCACGAGCCCAAGCTGGACATAATATGGCCCATATTGAGAGCTAAGAAAGTTTAGAGTTCATGGGAATAGGATTAGAATTTCCAATTGCTGTCCTGGTGGCACAAGAAAACCACATGTGTCCAGGGGAAAAAAAATGTAGCAGATTATCTGAATTTTCCTGGAAGGCTTCAATGGGGACTAGTATTTGCTACCTTGAACATTGGAAATGGGAGAGGTATAAGTTAAGAGGCTAAGGTTGTAGACAGGTTCTCAACTAAATCAGACCTAAGGGCCCCAATGTTCAGGCACGCCCGTATTAATCAAGAGTTCACATGGAAGAGAGTGGGAAGTGTTTGAATATAGTGTGTCACAATACCTGACCTCTTTAATCACATCCCTTGAGTCAGAGACTGAGGAACAAAGGAGCAGTGGGTGATTTACAGAAACGCAGGTTTCAAACAATGAGAATCAGAAAAGTGAGGGGGCGGTTGCCAACGCCGATAGAAACTCCAGCATGACCCAAGACATCTTACGACTTTACCCTTCTTTCTACGGTTTCCATTTTTTACAACAGAATCTGAATGGCAGTATTTTGGTCAATGATATGATGTAGTTATCTTAAGTTTTCAATATCATTTATAGATTATTTTTCTCAAGCACAACTTCTATCATTTTAAACACAAATACCAGAGATCTTGTTTATAGTATGTACTATCTCGGAGCATGACAACACTTAAACTTCCTTGGAAAGAATATTAGTTACGATTCTTTTTCAATGTCTAGGGAATAATTCCAAAGAAATTTTTCATAAAAATACAATGAAAACATACTATTACAGCTTCTTTTTGGTAAAGTGGATATCCTCATTCTAAAAGACAACTACATTTTTTTTTAATTTAATATGTATGGGGTCATCAGGAAAGTCATGACACATTTTTGCATAGAAAAATGTAGAAAAATACATCACGATTTTCCCAACGACCTAATAGAATGTTGCCCAGCTAGCTAACATATGACATGACACCTTTCAAATAAGATGATTAGAGTCTTTGAGGAAGAAATAAAAATCTATGATATCTAAGTCACTAAAGGAAATTGAGTTACAAAATCACTCGCCCAAGTTCAGAAAGTAAATTGGGGCCACAGACAAGAATCTGTGATTATTCTTTAGAAAGTTCATTTAATACCCCACTGATCCTGATACCACTTCAGAATCAGAATCTTCTGAAATTTAGTATGATACCAGCAAACTGATCAAAGCTCACCCATCATTTGTTCCTGCCCAGCTCCTTGGCCTTTTTTAAAAAAATTATTTTATTTAACTTCATTTATTACAATTATGTTTTAATTTGCTGTGGGGCACGTGAACTCACCAGAGACAGACAGAAAGGGAGAGAAAGTGAGAAAACAAGCTGCCAGGTCCGGGACTTCAACCACGGTTGGCCATGTGGCCATCTAGCACCTTAATCGCCATACCACCTGCTGGACCCAGCTCTTTAAACTTTAATAGGTGACACTGAGCTTGCTCAGCTGTGAGCATCCAGCTCTTCTCACTGGGTTGACCTCTGCTGAGTCTCCAGCAAAACCCTTTAGACTTTAGTTGAAAATTCCAAGAAGGAGACTTAAGGTTTCCTTTCTAAACTAACACCTTGTCGTCTGACTCTTCTCTCCTCCACAGCTCCGAATGTCCTGGCTTATCCGCGGAGTCTTGAGAGGAAACGTGTCCTTGGTGCTGGTGGAAAACAAAACTGGGAAGGAGCAAAGCCGGATGGTCTGGAATGTTGCCACCAATGAAGGCCTGAGCCTGTGGCAGTGGACGGTGTTGCCTCTCCTGGATGTGTCTGACAGGTGGGCCTCTACCCACCCCTTCCATTCCCTTGCCCTCTAACAGCCAAAATGCAGATGGAGCTGTGTCTTCTCTGCCCCCATGTCCTTTATCCAAGACACACTTGCAGATGTGCATGCACACCCATGTGTATGCATGTGCATATGTGTGCAGGTGTACACATATATACACATACTTTCTGCAGGCTTACAGGAAGCAGAACATTTTCTGAAAGATCTTGGTGCAATTGAACACAAATGTCCCACATCTCTGGCCTGGCCTGATTGGCTGTCTCCACTATCTACAGGAAGAAATAAAATTGAACAACTCCCATCACTCCCAAATAATAATCAGTCTTTATTTACAGTATATAATATTTCTCTTGCTTAATGAATTTTGCCTTACCTTCTCATTATGACATTTTCTTTTTTCCAAATCTCCAAGGTAAGGATATCCACTCTTGCCCTTTTGTAAGGAAAGAAATAGCATCAAAGAGGTAAAGTGCCAAGCTGGCATTAGAGTCAGGACTGGCACCCAGGCCCAACCCTTCTGTTGAGTCAGGGCTAAAGGGAGGTTGATGAAGGTAGATGACAAATTTTTCAGTAAACAGAGGAGGGCTTCTACAGACATCCTGGTTCCTATTTGGATTTTTATCACGGATGGCCTCTGCAATCTTGACCAAGGTCCTTGACTTCTTTGGGCCTCAGTTTTCTCATCTTTAAACTGAGAGAATTGAAGATCATTAACTCAGTGAGGTTCTGAAATGGAGCAGTAACTGTAGGGTGTAGCTGCCAGTTTCCTCCCCAGGATAGCACTACTCTGCCACCTGCAGTCGGCCTGGAGCAAGCAGTCCTTGAATAAAGACTGGTGCCGCAGCACTCCTGTGACACTCTGCTGTGTCATACTGAACCCTCAACCCTCGGTGGTTGGTGCTGCTATCTTCCAGACCAAAACAGAGGGAGGGTCATTTCTATAAAAGGGACAGATGGGAGGAGCCATCTTTTATAAGCTAAGCATCAAACCCTACAATCCACAGCAATCTCTGCAGTAGTCTTCCGAAACACATTCAAATACCCAAATCTGCCTTTGAAAACTGAGGCCAAAAGGCAAGGTGTAGGTAGGGTGATACCAATTGCTATGCAGCTTTGTAAGGATAAAACTAGGTTTTGAATTCTTCATCCAAATCTCCCAAAGTCTATTTCCAAGAGCTCATAACTGAAGCTGTCATAGAAGGCACTGTCCTCACTGAGCACCAGCTACCCACGCCTTCAGATGTGTGTAGGTTATAAGATCAAAGCCCGTGGACATCCTGAGGTTCAGTGACCCTAGGACTAATGGATTTAATTAAAGTGGAAGAAAGGGAAAGTGTGAGTGGTACTCACCATATACTAGCCTTTTGTCCTTTGGGATCATGGAGCTGTGCACAGGGGATGCAGAACATGAGGATGATGCCAAAATCCTCCCTCATGGGAGATGCAAAATTAATTCAGATAAATCAAAGGTTTTTGTTTTCTCCTCAATCCACCAAGTCCTCTCTCTTTCAAAGCCACTCCAGGGGATTTAAAAGCAAGTGAGATGTTGATTGTGTTCACTCCCATCCACTAGAGTTTAATTTGAAGGAGACTTTGTTCTCAGCCTCTCTCCTTGGTAAGGCTGTTTACCAGACGGAATTTCCAATATTGATACTGAGACAAGACTGTCCAGTGGGGATTCAAATAAAGCCAGCTTTATTTGATGATGCCTCATGATCCAGTAAGCATGCAATTATAAAAAACAAGAGGGTCTCCATTCACTAGGACCTACCTGCCTCTGACATGCTCTGGTGTTAGAAGCTGCCCTATCAAAGCTTGATATTGTAGACATCCAGGCCCAGAGACAAATGGAACTGCAGGAGAATGAGGCACAGCAGCTTTTACTTGCTAATATTAAACTAAATTCAAGATGTGATTGGCCCATAAAATTAAAGAAACACTATGGATGAAAAGGCATAGGCTATAGAATGAGATAGCCCCAAGTTTAAAAATGAACTCATCCACTTACTCATTTTGTGATCTCAGCTGATTGCTTAACCTTTCTAAGTCTCATCATCCTCATCTGTAAATGAGTATCATAGTACAGTTTTGTGGGATTGTTATCAGACTAAATAAAAGGACTATCGGGGCTGGGAGGTATGGTGGTTAGGGGTGCTGGACTCCCACATGGCTAACCACGGTTTGAGTCCCAGACCTGGCAGTTTGCTTTCTCACTTTCCCTCACTCACTCTCTCACTCACTCTAAGTCAAATTAAGATAGATAGATAAATAAATAAGTACATAAATAGGGACCAGAAGATGGCATGGTGGTTAGGGGCGCTGGACTCCCACATGGCCGACCGTGGTTCAAGTCCCAGACCTGGCGGCTTGCTTTCTCACTTTTCCCCTTCTCTCTCTTTCTCTCTCTATCCCTCTCTGGTCAAATTAAATAAATAAGTAAAGAAAGAAAGAAAAAGAAAGAAAGAAAGAAAGAAAGAAAGAAAGAAAGAAAGAAAGAAAGAAAGAAAGTTCAATAAAATAATAATTCTTTAAAAAGAATAAGAAATAAATAAAGTTAAATAAAAATAATTGTTAAAAATTTTAAAAAATAAAATGACTATCAAAAAATTCTATATAGGGAACCAGCAGTTAGTGTAATGGCTATGTCACTGAACTCCCACATAGTCAACCGCAGTTTGCTTCCTGGACCTGGTGGCTTAAAACTCACGCCGGGCACATGTGCGTGTGTGCCCAAGATCCCGAGAGGAGAATGGAGGAGAAGGGATTGCGGAGTGACCATCCCCCTTGGGGGGGGGGTGATCTCTCGCTTTCTGTCTCTCTCTCTCTCTCTGTCTGGTGAGCACATGCGCCCTATAGCAAAAACCTCTCCAAAAAAAAAAAAAACCCTATATATAGAAGATTTCAACTAATTTTATTTTCCATACCTTGCATCCTTGTTCTTTTGTTATTTGGCCTGAGTAATAATTTATTGAACAAATAGAACAAATCACAATCTCCGTATTTCAGGTCAAAAAGACAGAGTAACAGAATCTTCTCTTAGATTTGAGGAACTAAAGTGCTTGGTGAACTAACTGGCTTATGCTAAATGCTTAACCAGTTGTAAGTAGTAGTAACATCTATAATTATATCTCAACACCTAATACCTCAGAAGAGCCTGGATTGAACAATTTAACAATAATAACCATTTATGCAACCTTAAGATAAAGATTTGTTTGCTTGTTTTTTGGAGAGGTTTTTGATAGGGCGCTTGTGTTCGCCAGACAGACAGAGAGGGGCCTAGGGAAGGACATTTGGAGGAGGGATACAGAGGCAGTGCATTGACAGGACAGGGAGGTGTGGTGTAATCTGTTGAAGATATTTTGATCAACTGGACTGGGGATAAATGTTCACATATTGAAATGTTCACCTCATAAGCTAAACAATGTCATTGAATGTATATAAAAAATAAATAAATTTTAAAAAATGAGAGACAGAGAGACAGAAAGAAAGGAATCATGCCACAATCTCTTCTCCTCCATTTTCCTCTCAGAATCTTGGGTGTGCCAGCACACGTGCCTGACGTGAGTTTAAGCCACTGGGTCTGGGACTCTAACTGCAGTCTACTACATGGGAGTCCAGTAACGTAGCCATTATGCCATCTGCTGGTCCCAAGATGTGGTTCTTATGATTTTTTTCAACAATGCTATGTCGACTCCTTATAAGGAGGAGTCCCTGATCAAAAGAGGAACAAGAAGCACACTC